TAAGATACTCTTCAAGCCACATTAACCCTCTGTACTGTATTACTTGGTGTAACTGGGATACAACAAATATGTTAAAATGTAATTATAGTAAGAAACAAGAGTAGCTTTAGGGCTAGCATAATTATACCTCCAAGGATTGTACACAGTAGAGAACATGAGACCTATATTGTGGATTATAACACTACCCCAACTAACCAGATAATTAACCTAACAAATTTCAACATACCAGGGGACCAGTTAGACTTTATTTTTTTCTTTTTCAGATGATGAGTCCAGCTTTGAAGAAGCAGCTGACAGCAGCACACAACAAACAACAGTCCAAGAAACTTTCAACAGACGAGGACATCAAGGAAGAGTAAGTTGTGTGTTCCAGATGACAAAAACGGTAACAAATGTTTATACAGTGTTTAGAGAGATTATGTTAGTACTGCATCCAAGCAAGTAATAGTGTTTTACATCATTGCAGGACCACGAGGGAACTCTGGTTATGCAGACTTGGGCCACCGAACAGCAATCCTTCTACCAGAAGATGCAAGAGTCCCAGAACAAATGGATAGAAGAACAACAGGAACAATGGCAGCAAAGAGAAGAAAGGTTGTTTGTAAGGTTCTTAGAAGAAAACACACTCTCAACTGAGCGCCTAGTGAGGCAATGTTTTGATGGATTAAAGTCCATCATGACTCAAATGACCCCACCTCCACAGGGAAGATCTCCAGTTCCTCCCTACCGTCAGCATCAATACCCAGGTCAAAGCCGGTCTGCTCAATTTCCTCAGAACCCAAGCTACAACTCGGACTACCACCTCCATGACCTAAACTAAAGTTAAAAAAAAGTTTATTTGAGCAGCAGCTAAGGTTTCATATTATATATATATATATATAGATATTTTTTGATATTGTAATTCTGAAAGTACAGGATGAGTTGATAAAGAAGTTACTGTTGAATTACACGTTACTGTAGTTTTAAATGACCAAAGAATGTTTTTTTCTGTTTTCATTACAAGATGTGATGATCTGTGCACATTGTCTGTTTTGCACAAACTTTTTGAATGTATAATTTTTATGTTTTTGTGATGTAGGCTACCTCAAATTGCACTGAGAATGAAACACGTTTCACACGTTGTGTTGTGTCATGTTTCTCATGAACGTCAACCAGACTAAAAACCCTTACTGCCATCACCCGCTCCAGAGATTCTCTGGGGGGAACCCAAGGGGGGCTCCGACAGAAAAAGGCTGTACATGTGCCTCTGTGCTGAGCCCAGGCTGCGATCTCACATTAGAGCTGAGGTGAGCCAGCGCGCACTGAGAGGAAGCGTGAGCACTTTGAGTGAAAACACCGTTTCGGTGGAGGCTGCAGTTGTCGTGGAGAAACACGTTTACTCCCGCTGCACGGTGAGTGGGCAGAAAACAGTAGAAAATAAAAACGGGCTCTGAATGAAAGACAATTATATTTAAATAACGGGTTCTCTCTTTTTCGAGCTAATTACAGCCATGTGACAGAAGTAACTTTGCATAGATGGTTTAATCAGTGACATGAGACGTTAATTTTCTTTGACCCATCATAATAAATGTGGTCATTTATTGAACAGAATCAAAATTTAACATCAAAACATTGTACACGTGATTAGCTGAACTGGTTCTGATTAATAAAACTTGGCACGTTTTACTTAATAAAAACAATAGACATTTCTGAAGACCGCAGCATGGTGGCGCAACTGGTAGAGCTGCTGCCTCTCAGTGAGCAGGTCCCTGGTTCAAACCCCGGTCCAGAGGCCTTTCTGGGTGGAGCTTGCATGTTCTCTCCGTGCATGCGTGGGTTTTCTCCAGGTGCTCTGGTTTCCTCCCATAGACCAAAAACATGCATGTTAGGCTGATTGGTAACTCTAAATTGTCCCTAGGTGTGAATGAGAAAGTGAATGGTTGTTTGTCTCGTTTGTCTCTATGTGGCCCTGTGATGGACTTGCGACCTGTCCAGGGTGTACCCCGCCCCTCGCACAGTGATTGCTGGACATGGGCACCGGCGACCCCCGTGACCCAAAATGGAATAAACGAGTAAAGATAATGGATGGATGGATGGATTTCTGAAGACATCTAGGTTAATTACTGGAGAAGTAGAAGAGTTTTAAAGATGTGAAATATGAGGAGTATAAATGGAGAGGTTTGAAGGAAGATGTATAAAGGGAGTGTCTATTCGGACCAGGATCGCACGCTCCTTTCAATACCAGCTCACCTCGGGTACACTTCGCGTCACGACTCGTTACCTTTGCCGGGATACCTCCGCTTAGGAACAGGAGTCCATTTCAACGCGGCCTTTCAGCGTCTCCGGTAAGGATGGCTGAGAATCGTCCGAAGTTGTGTCACTTATCCGTTCAACAAACAGGCTCAGCTCCCTTCGAAGTTGTAGGGCATTTATGCCCAGGTGGACTCACAGCAAGCATCTGTGAGTCCTTTCAGATTCTCCACTCAGAAGTGTAAAACTCCATGAAGACTAAGAACTGCAGAACTGCCGCACTTGACTCCAGAACTCCACTCCAGAACTCTAGAACTCCAGAACTCCAGAACTGCTAGAACTCTCCCAGAACTGCTAGAACCCCAGAACTCTCCCAGCACCGAATAGTTCCAGGAAGTGTCGACTTTTAAAGAGTTCTCACTTTCAGTCACTTTTAGTACTTCCTGATTGGTTGAAGCAACCAACAGGGGTGGTTCTAGTGATGTCAGAGGGTCATTACAAGTCAAGAAAACAGCAGGAATGTTTTAGGAACAGACAGAGAAATGTTTTGGAGAAATTACAGACTTACAGGTGCCAGTTTTCTTATTTACTGTCTGAGAGTTTTAAAAACACGGCACTTCGTTCCAATAACTTCCCTCTGGCTTTCGACCGACATCACTACTTCTCATTTAGACAGAAGATCAAAAATGCATAATTACTTTGTAAAATAGACATTTTAACTTGATTTCTAATTTAAATGAGGATTAAAAAATCATTGATACTGTTTCACAGTTGATTTAAAATGAGTGGTTCACTTCAACATTTAGAAATGGTATGAACTAAACATACTTTTGATTTATCAAGATAATGTAAAATAGTGATGATAATATAAAAGAAGAGTGTTCTTTCAATTGATTACTTCAGGATACAATTAGACAGTCTCTGGATGAACTAATTTGTATTTCTGGATTCAAATCAATGAAATAACAGTTCCTGTCCCATGAAGGTCCTCAGAGGCAGGTTTTGGTTGGAGGCCTAGTCCACTACAGCGGCTTTACAGAGAGAGCTCTTTGTCTCCTCCAGCAGGTCTGCTTCCTCCAGCCTCTTAGAGATGCTGTAGGCCAGCAGGGCAACATTGTTGTTCGCCGCGACCTCCTGGGATGTGCTCTGGTGATCTCAGTTGGAGAGCTTTGTCACCATCTGGTCATGCTTCCCTGGAGGGATAGGTTGCCGGTCCATCCTGGAAGCTTTTGCCCCAAGCGCCTCCGCCAGGCTTGGTTCCAGGTGGGGGAAACCGAGGGAAAACACCGATAGGTAAAACCCTCCACTCTGGAGATGGAGGCGAAGATGGAGACGGATGTATTCGCTTGCCGGGCCCAGCTGCAGCCTTGTTCCAGTGTGATGTCACAGCTGGACAGCGAGGCCAGATGGGA